TGTGTGTGTGTGTGTGTGTGTGTGTGTGTGTGTGCATCATCTCTGTGGTTCTGTGCCACCAGTTTGACCCTGCGCCTCTATTCAGCATGTTACAATAGGTCATTTATTTTCTGTGTAGTTTCAAAGTTCTCAGAAGTTGCAGCTTCTTGATCTAAAGAACGCTGCTTGGGGAAAAAATAGAACTTGTAATCCTATTTTTTATTTTTTATTAAGGGATAACCAGCTCAAAAGCTAAAGCATTTGAATATGTTAAAACAAATTGTCGGAGCAACAGATCAGTTTAAGCTGTTTTTGAGATTGGACAGAGCCACATTGCACACATATTCCTCCCTAAAACAGATATTTAAAAGAAAAAGATGTTTGACTTTTAGTTTACATTTAGATAGAGCTTTAGTTGAGGGGGATAACTCTGATAATATTTTCTTTTGGTTTGTGTAGAATGGACGTCTGGACATTGAGAAAGATTAGGTAGGGGCTTAGCTTTAGCATGACCACTAAAAAAAAACCACCTCAAGGAGGTTCTTAGTGTTTTTTTTCTTCCTCCTAAATCTGCTCCGCTTTGTCCTTACCCTGTTCTTTTAAATTACAAATATAAGTAGAAAAATACCTAACAAACTAAAGGACATGGTTTAAAAAAAAAAAAAAAAAAATTGGCAGAACCAAATCTCAGTTTTTTTTTAAGGATTTTCCTCAAAATTGGCACCTTTATTCCCACATATAGTTCCCCCCCCCCTTTTTAGAATTATGTTGACTCTTTAAAAAAGCATGTATTTATTTTTTTGCTAATTATTCGTCCTCTTTCCACTTTGTATTTATAAAAGGGTTCACGTGGATCCTTAAAAAGTCTTAAAAGGCATTGAATTCTTCAAAATAAAACTAAGGCCTTAATTGGTAATAAAATTTCTTAAATCAGTCTTTCGTAGGTCTTCATTTTTAAAACATCATAAATAGGATTATTTTTATTACGATTTATTTGTGTAATCTAAATAAAAACGTTAAAATTGTCTTTTTTTTTTTTTTTTATTAAAAAAAAATAAATAAATAAATGGCTTGCCATTATTGTTTCCGTCCCGATAGCGGAAACAATAAAAGCGTTGTTGCGGCCGGGACATTTGGTAGATGCACCATTAACTTTTTGTCTGGAAAATATGAGCAAGTGTAAATGCAATGAAAAATTGGCTCCAGCCAAGAGTTTTCTCCATGGCTAAAACATACATGAGGCACAGTGTATTTTGTGCAAGAAGCCATTCAAGCTCGGAACGATGGGAATTAAGGCAGTGGAGTCGCACATGCGAACCATGAAACACAAAGCGTCAAAATCAAGTTACCGAGAAACAGCCGGTATTTCTCCGTTTTGTTCCACCCTTGTCTCTGCAGCGCCTCCACTTATCACCAAATCAAACATACTAAGAAAAGGATACAAAGAAAAATAGCTGCAAAAAAGACTTGGCAATGGTTATGTTGTGGCTTTAAAATTGATTTGTTTTGTTCCCTGCTAAAACAAAGTTTGTGAATTCGGTTAAATAATTGTTAAAATATATCTGTCATTTGTTTGTTTTTAGCTTTCTTCCTGAATGGGAAGCTTTTCAAAATTTGAAACATTGGTGCAGTGGTTTATGTTAAAATTAACCTTTGGGTTAAGTTGTCGCAAGCTGGTTTTTCTTGTGTTTCTTGTGAATTTGGTCTTACATTTTTATTTCAACTGGCATTAAAAAGTCTTGAATTTAACTTGCCTTATGCTGTAGGAACCCTGTATAATGTGGAGGTATACTCACCATGGTGCTAGTTATTGCTTTGGGTTGGTTTTGATCATTGGAGATCACGTCTCAATTGAATCATGAATACAAGTCTCTAAAAATATTTTTGTTTTGCATTTTGAAAGCTACGGTTTAGATAGTAATTTTTTTACAGTGTAAATATGAGGGTAGAAAAATAGCTCACAATGTTCTTTGTCTTCATACAGGTTGAATGTGAAAGCAGATGGAAAACCTATATAATTATATTTTATTACAAGGTGTCAAATTTTTTGTTTTTATTAATTTTTTTAAAACTTTATTATGGTAAAGAAAAAAAATGATCATAATCTATAGTCCTTTAAACTAGCACTGCAGTATATTTTCAGGTTTGCAGTCCATTTGCCTTCACTAGAAACGGCGATCACGGTTAAAGTGGCATTTAGGTTTTATTTCCCATTTGTCTTGCTTTATGCCTTAGTGCATTTCTTATAAAATTTTCATTCTAAGCTGGAATCCTACATTTACAATATTCTGATGACCACAAGAAAAATGGAAAAAGAGATTATGTACATTTTTGTTCAGGCGGAGAAAAATTATCCTAGCGCTGCTATAGAAACGCTAAGGGTCTTGTTTTGACTCTGTTAATGTTATCGCCAATCTGCTGGCTCAGCAGAGATATTATAATTTGTTGAAACAATAAAGAAGATTTTTCTTTTTTTGTCTCTTAAATTTGTGACTCAGTGTCCAAAATAGTGACGCGGATATCTCTATCGTTTTTAGATTGGCTTGATTCCTCACTCTTCTTATAATCTGTCCAGCTTGCTTAATACTGATTCATCCCCTTATTTCATTTTAAACTTCTACTCATTTATTTAGAAAAACAGAAGTTAATGTGCTGCTCTTTATTATTCAATTTAGATTTTTTTTGTAGATCAGAAACTTATTCTAACCTAAATCTATTGTATGACGTTGTAGAATGGTCCTTCAACTTAAAGACATATGGGTATATAAAATTATAATTCCTTTCACTTTAGATTGCTTATTTTCCCTTTAGCCAAGTTTTTTTTTTTTTTTTTTGTCATTTAACCCTTTAAAAACAATTGTATCATATTTGATACATGAGCTTTTGAGGACTTTGCATCATCAGTTTGATGTTGCTGATCTTAAAAACCCTAACTTACACAATCAAACAAATGTAATGAACAGGAAACATCTATATTATTCTACAGAAATGCCTAATGTATCAAAATTGATTCAAATAAATGATCTAATTTAACTTATTCAATATATATATATATATTTTTTCATTTTTCAGAGTTCAATGACAACTCTAAATAAAAAAAATAATAATTTTCTTTCATTTATTTCATGGTCCAGGGCTTTAAAGGGTTAATGTCAATTCATAAAGGAAGGGTGGAATTTCACAATATCTTATATTACCTGTTCAAAGGATTAAAGAAGAACAACAAAGAGGACTCGTATTCACAACCCCATTGGGTGCCTAATAGAAGCTTTAGAAGTATAAGTATAATACTATATTACTATATTATTATACATAAGTATAATATTATATGCATACTTTTTTCCCCCCCAAATGTTGATCTACTGGGTCTGTAACAGGTGAATCAAGTGCTGTTTTCTTTTTAAACATACGTTTTCTCAGAGTCTTAAAAGACAATGGAAATAAGACCCAGATGGTCTATTTATTTTATCCCAGTAGCGTCCACAGGCTGTCAGATTACACAGGTTAATGAAGGATTCTTAGTCCATAATTTTAATGAGGAGTTAAGGAAACTGTTTGCAGTGAGGATGTGTGGTTGCAGAGACAGAGACAGAGGGGTGTGGCTGGTCTACTTTTCAATTTGGATGAATGGAAGAACAACTGCTGTAAATGCCTGGGTTATTATTCAGAGTGTTATTGCACCACCCAACCATCAACAAAAAGACACATAAAAAAACTATTAGGATGTGTGTGAACATGCATTATAGCGCGGGAGGACATTTTAATAAAGAATTAGCCTTTTTTTATAATTATTGCTGCATTTTTAATCAGTTTTATCCTAAAGGAATCTATTCCAAATGTAAAATGTGTGTCATCCCTGCTAACTGAGCCTAAAGTGCCTTCTGTTATTCTATATTTATTTTTTTGTGTCCACAGTCTCATAGAGCCGCCCATTCAATGTCCTGAGGGTTTGGGGTTCATGAATGGAAAAAAAAGCATGGCCTGTCTCCGTTGGTGCCTTTAAATCTTTTTTTTGTGCTGCTAAACATACTCTGCATCATGAAGTCATCTTGCTGAAGGGGTTTCTCACTGAAGGGCCAGACTGAGACCCACAGCTCTAATAGTGATGACTCTGCAGCAGAGCTGCTTTGCAGATAATGTGCAACTTGTAAGCTAAGCATTTATGCTGATGGGGTATCCGACTTTGATTACAAGCAGTTTTATCTGGAGACATCTATTGACAGATGCTTTAACAAGCTTAGCTGGAGAAATAGGATGCCTCTCAGACTTAAGGTGCACTTGTAATGATTAAAAATCATTATATTACCAAACAAATATATATAGCCACTCCCCTGACTTGAATGGCTCCACCTGTAATGGCTGAATTTACACATTACAACTCTACATATTACAGGCAGTTTTTCTTTTTTTTTCCTTTTGTTGTGGAACATGTTTTACCTAGAAGATTTTAACGCTCAAGTTATTACTAAATAAAAACCCTGAAATTCGACAAGGATCAAGAAAAGATGAATCGGATCTGGGATAAAAGAAAAAAACTTTCTGAAATTTCTGTTGAAATAAAAAATTTCTGATTGATAAAACAGATACGCTTTGCTACTCAAGTTTTTCTGAAAGTTTTTCCTTTTTTCACTTTCTTTCTCTTTTCAACCCATTATTACACCTGTGAATATCTATTGCATGATAGCAACAGTGTCAGATTTCCCACACACAATGCTCATCTATAAAGGTGTTTGGATTGATTTATACTGACTTGGATTTGCAACCACACTCCCTAATATGAACATTTCCCCTTTCACTGCTGTGGTTTTTGACTCACTAAATCAGGTATGTTTTATATCCTAGAGAAATTAACCGTTTCAGCTTGAAACAGGCATTAACTGTAGCTGGATAGACATTCTAAGGTGAAACAAGTCCTTTCCATTGCCTATTACAAAATAGCTTCATGAGTAATGAACATTATGTAATGCATAATCGTTAAACACCTCAAGACATCAACAAAAAGTTTTGGTCATGCCGGCAGATTTGTTTTATAGTGGCTTAAGGAGAACTAAGTAAATATTTTAACCCCACGTTGGGCATTATGAGCAACGTGGCCTACAAAGCAGTCCTGTCCAGGAAGCTGTGGTGAGAAACTTGTGAAAGGGAAACATTTATTTAAAGTTATAAACCATAAAAAAGATAAAAGTAATAAAATACTCTCCCCCTCTTCCCTTCAGCATTAAAATAACAAGCTGATTCTTTGCTATATACATTTACATCATTCCACCTCTGTGCTTTAGTTTAGTCATTATAACTATCCTTTTAGTATTCCAGCACACAAACCAAAGATGAACCCCTTTAGATCAGTCTTCCTCTTGCTGAAAAAACAACTGTATCTCCTGTCTCAAAGGCTTGTTTCTCCCTGAGCGACTTTTAGTGTGTTGATAAAGTGATAAATTAGACAGCTATGCCAGCATTACCTCAGCTCTGCTGCTTTCCAGGCACACAGACACTGAGACGACCCACGTACTGGCACAGACGACAACAAAGCTTTAAATCTGTCTGAAGAGCCAAGTTCTGGCAGTTTGTTTTTTTATGTGTCTGCATACCCATGCATTGCAGTGACAGAGTTTTATTTTTATTTTATTTTATTTTTTATCTCTGACTTCATATCAATCTAGCAACAAGCTTTTTCTGCATCTACATTTGGTTTCTATTCTATTCCCTCTGATTTTTCTTTTTCAATCTTTATTCTCTTATTATAAATGATTTATTATAAGGCCTAATCAAAAGCTATATGTGTTTTCCGTTGCATTAAAATCAGTGTTGCAATCTCCAAATATGAATTACTTGTGAATAATGGAGTAATGACTTGTCTGTAGCAGGGAGCATGTTATACATTTTAACTTGGATTGCTTTGTTTTTCCTCCAACAGAAAGAGATTCAGGCCATGAGCCAGTGCCACCACCCCAACATTGTTTCTTACTACACATCCTTTGTTGTGAAGGATGAACTGTGGCTGGTTATGAAGCTGCTCAGTGGGGGTGAGTGCATACAATTTGTCTTTAGAGTTTCCTTCCCTGCTAATCTGCCAAAATCCTTACCTCTTTCTTTCACAAACAAAGTGGCAAGATTATAAACGGGCATTGTGCTGATGGAAAATAAATGTATTTCAATAACAGGATAAGGGTGGTTTGTTTCATCTCGCTGGTCGTTATTCCTCTCGATATTCTTCTGGTGAAGATGGGGTGGCACCCAGAGGAGCGGGTGGACTTGGTGCCTGTGATTTACCTGTTAATACAGGGATTGTGACGCCACAGATTTTCATTGTTTTCCCCTCTGAGCTGCAGCTCTCTGTGGTCTTTAACTCGTTCCAGCGCTAATGACAGTGCAGAGGTAATAACAGCCCACATGGCAACCATGTGGCAGTGCTGCAATTACCAAGTAAAAGGAGCACGAAGAGGAGGCCACCATAAGGTACCGATCATCCAAAGCAGACGTTTACATCTACTTACATTTTTTATTTCTCTTTTATTTATAGAATTAAAATAAAAAAAGCATCACCTGTTGTAATTGTGTTTTTCTGTCAGCGTGTATTTTCCAGATTTGTTGGAGCTAGTACAGATAGGTCTTTCTCTTATCTTGCATACAGTACTGTATTAAAAATGCAGTCTCTTGCACAAGTATTGATGCCTTGTCTCTTGTGGTTTTTACCCACTTGCTTTTGTTCCAAGCACAAAGTTTAATGTATGTTTTTGTTCTCTTATGTCATAGTGCAATGCAAAGTAGTGCATAATAATGAAGCACAACTAAAATCATGTCCATATGCAATACTACAGTTTGGTCTGCCATATTTAATCCAACAAAATACTTTTAAAGTTTGTGAGTCTACCTCTACAAAAAGAAAACAAAAGGTTCAAGGCCCCTCATTGTACGACTCTGCCTCTGTCTGTGATGACTGCGTCCCGCTCTAACGGCTCATGCCCAGGTGGTGTGCCAGGCTTACACAGAGGGCAGTTGCTTGCAGCTGGGCTCAGGGCGCCATGCCCGCCAAGCGACGCTTGAGCAGACAGCCAGCCTCGCAGCAGGGGCAGACGCAACTTAAGATGGCCTTGTTCCCTCTCGTCCCTGTTAAACAGAAGCTCTTGATGTTGAGCTTTATTGAGTGGAGTAATTAAACGATAGCCGTGCCGACGTCTACCATGGAAACAGACCTCATTGAGGTTGAGTTTATAGAGCATCACTCCACAGGGTAGAGCATACCAGACTAGAACGAGAGCAGCTCTTGTCTGATTGTCTGGGCTGATGAAGCACAAGAAAGCGCCCACCCTTAACCCTCATCCCAGCTTTTTTATTTTTTTTTTTAAGCAGCCAAACGGTTGATCAGACAATGCCAAGTCTTTTTTTTTTTTTTTTTTTATTATGAGAATGGCACCAGACTGCATTCTTATTTCTGATGTACTTGAGCTTTCCACGGAAAACTTTGTTACAGTAACACAAAATCAAGCATTTCAAAAGAGGACTGCATAACCCTGCACTGTTTGAATTTTTATCCGAGATTATGTCATTATCTCCCCCATAGAGACTGATCAAAATGCATACACTTCCTAGAGATATCAAGTACTGTCCTCTTTACCTGCCACCCCTTCTACAGATGTTAGTTGGATTGCTTTTTGAAAGCAGTTCCATAAAAATTTATTGAAATCCTCTGCTCTTTATAAAGTAAAAATTCCAACCTGTTAGCTTTAATGGGGACCAGCCGTTTGATTAGATCTGTAAAAGTAACTCTAACTGCAAAGGTCCGGATGTTCACACTGATCCATAACCTTGTGTTGAACCATAAAGAGGGAGATGTGGCAGTAAATAGAATCATTCTATTTGTCTGATCTGCATTGACTGGCGACAGACCAGTCAGAGTAAAGAAGCCAAATGTGCAAATGTGTCACAGGTGGTTTAACACTATTTTCCATTTCTGGTTCTTTATCTCCAGATGATAATTAAAAGGAAAGTGAAAAACATGGAATCAGATTTTAAATAAAGAAACATGTTTAAGGTCTGTTTATTTTTTAAGGAGGAATTTAGAATTATACAGACCATGAAGCAAGGATTTAAACCTGTTAGATGTTGTGTAACCACAGTTTGTGGCTGTGGTTTGGCTGTATTCTCAACAATATTCTCCTAAATTGATCAAAAAAATTAACATTTTTAAACTTTGACCCAGCGAAGAATGCAGCTCCGATAGAGGCTTCCTTCAATCTGAGCCCACAGTGATATTTTTTACACCCTCCAGGCTTGCTGCAGTTCCTCCAATGCCCCACCCTCACTTTCCTCCTACAGCTTCACTTGGCATTCCACTAAAGCTTTCAGCGCAGTTGGCACCAGGTTTCATGTCCTTCATCTACTTCCTCACCCCCCCGATTCTCCCATCCTCTCCCTTTGTCTCCCAGCTGCTGCTCTATTTAAAAGAACAAAACAGCTAGAAGGTGATGTTCCCATATGAGGCAAACTTCTACCCTGTTGCAGTTTGTTTAAAATTCAAAGGCGGCGATATATTTGCCTAATCCTGTGTGTAACTGAACCTATGATTTGGCATTTTCCGGAGTATTTGCATGCTCTTTGGAGCTCTGCCCTGTCAGGACTTAATTTACTTGCTGTGATTTGTATAAACTCGTCCTGAAGGGTTTTAGAAAGGCAGCTTTCAAATTAGTCTTACGGGTGTCTTGCCTTACCCATGCTGAATGGACCTTTGCACCGTTAACCCGTCAGTATGTGTCAGCTCGCTGAATCAACCTAATGAGGCATGATACGTTCGATCAGATGAGTTTAATTTGAAGAGGGCTGACAAGGCTGGCATTTAGTGAGAATCCAAAGCCTGCGTCATGCTGTGTGTGCTTCTGAGCACATTTCCTGGTGCCAGCCGCTGGAAAGGAGACTCTGCTTGTTTACAGCCAGTCAGAAAAAAAAGTGTTTGGCCAGCAGGATAGGTCTTTATTTACAGTACCCTGTAAAAGCATGAATACTTTTCACATTTTGTCCCCTTACAGCTGAAAGACTTAAACGTATAATAATGGTTCTGTGATAAGCCAAGTAAAAGTAAGGTGTTATTATAAAGTAAAGCAAGATGATGCATGGTTTGAACGTTTTTGCACACTCAGATCTGAAAGCATTGTGTATTCAGTCTGTTTGCTTTTATTAGGGGTTTCCTGATGCAACCTTTTTATTTCCGACACAATAACGATATTAGAGCTTTCGAATCGGACAGACGCTGATACGGACGCAATATGGTATCAGCATGAATCATAAATACCTTTAATGCTTGTTTTTTAGTGTGAAATTATAAAAAAGGCTAGATCAAATGGCTAACAACATCAGTTATCTTATTTCTCATTCACCAAAGAGTTGCATAAACTTTAAACAAAAGTGGATAGAAGCCAAGTGTTTCTATTATTTCGCAGATTTAAGAGGCTGGCCGTTATAGGGATATAAGGAAGATGAACCTCAACTCCCACTCCAAGTGTTTTGCAACCTCTTAACTGTTTTTCTTCTATGGTTTCTCTTGTATGTCGCTCCACCACGACAGAAAAGATTCCCTGTGCTTTCTAAACAACCACCACTGTTTCAGACGAACTGTAAACAGTTCTCTTCAGGCTTTTAGTTATTCTGGTACCTGCAGTTTGTACCACATACCTGAAAAACATTTACATCTACTTGACATCTACCAGCTGCCACAAACAGTAGCAGAAAACCCCCATGAGGTGATCAGGCTTGAGGCAGCTGCTGCTGGGGATTCCCAATGACAGCGCACCTGCGTTTTAAGGCGGGATCGCAATCTCGATTAACTGACTGCACAGACGACGTTTTGAGGTGGACTGTCTAGTGAAAATGAAGCTGCAACGTTTTGATTTTAGCAGCTTTTTTTTTTTGCTCAAATCGAGGTGTGAACGTAGCATTCGACTTTCAGATTGATTGAATTAATCCACGAAACATAATATTGTACAAAAAAATGTCATGTCTTCCTTATAAAATTCCACATCTACTGAGGCACACATACGCAGGACAAAAGTAGTGTTGTAACGGAGACAAAACGTTTGTTGCAATCCACCTTAAAATGTAGGAAATGGTGTTTCAGAGAGATTTTCTGGGTGACAATACCCCCGGACCCCCCCTAAGCCACCCAAAGCCTGAAGATTTGATACATAAAGGTGTACACCCTATGAAATATTCCTAGCTAAAAGCCTGGTTCTCTTCTATAAAAAACAGATTTTTGGAACATGAGAAGGCGTCACTCTCTGCCACAAGTGAAGGAGTTTAAATATCTAGGTATCTTTTGAATGATGGATGCAGCAGGAGATGGAGTGACACATCGGGGCTTCATGTGCACTGATGCCGGCGCCTCTTAGCTTTATTCTGGTTAAGAAAGGAATGAGATGCCGAACAGCATTCTGACCCTTTACTGTTGGTTACTACGGAAATATGCACAAAAAGAAGGCCCTAGGTAAAACATTTGTATAAATAGTTTTAAACATGTTCTTCCACATTTTGATTACTTACAATTTGGTTTATCAGCAGAACCTGAGCAAGATAAGGGATCTGTTTGCAGGAAACTGTAATATTTCCTCAGCCTCTCTTTGTCTCTGGCATTGTGGTTGATAAATCATTAAGAATTCATTAAACTCCCCTTTGGTCCCTCTTGTTTTTCTGCTGCTCTGCAGTAACACTAACTGTTATCCAGGTAGCATGGCAGCTCTGTAAGGCAAAAAGATCCTAAAATATTTAAAGAAAGTTCAGATCTTTAAACACTGAGCCAGACATTGCTATTTTCCTGGGAGTTATTTTTTTTTTTCACCTCTGGACCATTTCCAGGTCCTGTTTAGCTGTGCTGTAGCTAAACCTGTGCACAAAAGAGAGGCAGACAGATGGAGCAGCAGTGTGATGTTGATGCAGTTGTCTTACTGGTGAACAATAAAGCTTGTCAAGCAAGTCACATTCATTTCAACTTCTCTGCTTTGTCTGTATTCAACTATGTCGCACACTTTTCTGTCAAACCAAATGCAAATAATGGACCTCTCATCAGAGGGCTCCCATTTGTTTGCTTGGAAAGGTGCACAAAAGAATTGGCAAACGGACTTATCAGCGTGAGTTCTCCTTTGTGACGCTGGAGCCAGACTGGGAGAGACGTGGTGACCTGTCTCTTTGGGCCAGGTTTAGTCAGCAGAGACCCCCCCCCCACCCCCTGACTCTGCATTCAGGGAAGACAAAGCCGCCAGTTTGATTTGTAATCACTTTAACCTGAAACCCTGCAGATTTTATGTCATTCATTTCTATCTTTTTAACATTGTTTGTTATAATCTCATTATAAAGATGTTATAATAAACTCAAATGTAGAAATTAGAAACCTTAACACCTCCACAGTTTTTTACCATAATCTGTACATACAAAAATTAACAAAAATATAGAATCTTTATACACCAGTAAATAAACATGATAAACCAAGAAGTTTGCTGGATGGATGCTGTTCTGTTGGCATATCTACCATAATCTCGATAAAATATTTTTCATTAGTTGATAATCACTTATAATTTCCAAATTTGGAAGCATAAATATGATGATTGTTTTGCTTTGAGGGCCAAAGTTAAGATTTTAATGTCAGCAGAAAAGAAGGTGTTTACAATTGAATTTAGCCTTTAGCAAAATGTATGAAAATGTGTTTCGATCTTTTTCTTTTTATCATGTCCAAATGGAAAAGTTACAAAGCTGTTTACAATGAAAAGGTCAAAAGTTTTTCCTCCTAAATAATCAGATTACTTGGAATGTGGGAGAGGGCAGTTTTGTCAATCTCAAATCGAATTTTTACGACAAGATTATGGATTAATCTTCTGAGTCATCTTAAATGACTTTTTCATCTCTCATTGATGTATATTTTTTTTCATTTTAAAAGTCTATTCAGCAATTTAATCCAAGAAAAACACATGTTTCCAAATTTTTAGCCATATTTTTGTCTTGTCTGTTTGCTAGGTTCAGTGCTGGATGTGATCAAGCACATTATCTCACGCGGCGAGCACAAGAACGGCGTCCTGGACGAGGCCAGCATAGCCACCGTGTTGAAAGACGTGCTCGAGGGATTGGAGTACCTACACAAGAACGGGCAAATCCACAGGTAGGCCCTTTGCAGCAGTAAAAGAAAACTAATATAAGGGTTATGGAGGAGATTAAATCTTCTGGCTCTGTTGCTCCTTAAGTATGGTGCAAAAACATTGATTTATGGGTAATTAAACCAACTTTAACATGAGGCAGCTCCCCCACCATAAGAGGTGTTGGATATGATCTATCATTTGTTGAATAAAGGAAAAAAATCCTGTTCTAATTTGGAGGAAAGGCAACACTTTTTTATTAGACAATATAATAAATGAAAATAGTTTGCCATCTTTTGAATGATTTTATCTATGGGCACTTTATCAAATAAAAGTATTTTGCATTCGCACTTTTTTCGATGTTAAATTCCAATTTACAGCTTTTATTACCTTTTGCTGCAACTTTGTTTATGTTTAACATATCATCTTAGTGAAATAATATGTTCCTTAAAATAAATGAAATAATGTTATTTTCTGGCCTGAAAAAATATGCTTTGCCAGTAAATAATTTCATCTTCCGATCCACTTGGCCAGTGAGTCAAAAAGTTAATTTCGGATTCTGGATCCGTGTATCTGTGTTTATGGCAATAAGCTGGCCTCGGGGCAAATACAACAATTATAGACAAAAATAAAACAGCCGTGTTGTTGCCCTTTTAGGAACTCATTAGAAAAATGTCAGAAGATCGCGGCTTTATTAGATCTTATCCTCAGGCTCTAATGTGATTCGTGAGAAAGAAAAGTTGAGGTTGTCCCATAGAAAGGAAAATAATGTATGTTCTTGCCGAGGAGGGGGCCGTCTCAGTGAACGTGTCACTGGGTGTTTAATGTCATTTGGAGATCTAGAGGATGAGGAGAGGGCTCTGGGACTGTGGATCCATGAGAACAAGGAGAGCAAGGAAATGTCACGCGACTTCTTCCACCCGTCACCGGACAGCTGAAAAGCAATTAGAGCCTCACTGACCGAGGTTTAGACTCGGCTGCAGGCATTTACCACAAGACCGTGAAGCGTTCCACCTCCTTATTCTCAGCAGCTTGGAAAGTCTTTACCAGGGACCGAAATGTTTACAACAGGTGAACATTATATCACATGAGAAATGCCAGATTTCTTTTCCAGTTAAAAAAAGTCTCCCCTTCACACCTGAACTGGAATTTTGAATTTAAATTGCAGTCTTGCAAAAGTGCTGATGCTAGCATTATTTCATACATCAACAAACATCAGTTCTATAATGATTTAAGATGACTTCAGATATTTTTTGAACCCCTATCCACCCACACCTGTAGCACACAGAACCGAGACCAGACCCATTATATGTGCAGCTGTCCTTCGTTAAAACCCCAACAGTACACGGACCAGTGATTACATACTGTACACACAATCACTTATTTTTATTAGGTGCTTTAAGCCAAAAGATTCTTTATTTTTGTAGCTTCAGCTGAATGCAGAGGTCCAAACACATTGCCTGATGCCTGCACTGCTCTCTCAGATGACCGGGGTAAACAAGCCGAATGCACAAGGACTTTCCCTCTCACAAGCGCAAACTCACACATGTGCATCACTTTTTGCCGTGCATATAAAACATCAGGTAAAACAAGCCTCCTTCAAAAACCACTGTTCAATTTTACCTGGAATTAAACAAAGAAAGTTAAAAGTAGGAACCATGACTTATTGAGTGCAATATATAACAATTTCAGAAGCATTCACTTCCTGCTCTAAAAATACTTTAGAGCTTAATTTAACTTACTCCAATGTCACTGCTTATTTCATTAGTCACTGATATTGCAGGAAAATATTGTGATGTGTTGTGAAACTCGTACAAGTCATTCACTCTGAAATTCAAATCTCCAAAGAAGAGCAGCATGTAAAGAAACAATGTTAAAAAATATCCGTAAGAGCTTCCATTTACAGTTATCCTGAAACCATGTAAGGAACACAGCAGACTTTTGGTAGGAACAGATTCCAGTCACATAAAAACATGAAAATTTTTGGCCTGCATACAAAGGTCTGTGTGGGACTGAAAACTAACGTTGCGTATCTCCATTCTCAATGCAAAACACAGTGGTGGCAGCATCATGATGTGGCAATTGAGTTCCTCACAAGAACAGAGATGACAGGAAGATGATTCAAGCTAAATACATGGCAATCCCAGAAGAAAAAAAATTCAAAACACTTGAGCTGGAGAGAATATTCACCTTCCTGCAGTACACTGACCCAAAGCCCAGATGTAGATCTACTCTAAGGTTTGTAGGAAGACCTTGAAAAATATGTATCCAGATGCTCCAGATCTAATTTCACTATAAGCAAGCTATTTTTGGCTATGAAATAAGGATACAAGTGTCAGTCTTTTGATGAGCAGCGGTAGTTGAAAGGGAAGTTTAAAAAAACAAAAAAATAGCTTCCAGCTGTAATGGGAATGAAACTTGACAGAGCTGGGCTGAATACAAATGCATAAAACTCTCATTTGTAACTATATGCAACGCATACAATCCTATTAAAACATTTGCAGGTGCCAAATTTTAAAAAGTACTAATTTTGTAGAGAAATCTGCCTAAAAGAGATTTGAAAAGCAAATGAGAGATATTTGCTGTGTGTTAGAGGACATGCTTTAGATGTGTCTATTTTCTCAGTTAATAGCGATGGGAATGAAATTCAGCAGTACGGAAAAAGCTATCAAAATGTAGTTCCAGGGGAAAGATAATATGCGGGCCATAAGGGTATTCTTAAACAGGGGTGAGGATGGAAAAGGTTATTTTATTCCTATATATGGCCCACAGAGCATCCAATAAAACCTCTTTTACAGCTCTGTTAGGAACACAGTGAGCCTGGCACTGAGATGTAATGTCTTAGGAGTTGACCCATTGGTGCTGCAAGGTGCATGGCTGCCAGATGAAAATGATAAATCTCCTAGACAGTTTCATACCATGGCTGTTCCCACCTGGCTGCTAGCCGGCTAATATATCAGTATGTCATAACTTTATGAGGGCAGGATTTGTGTACTGTTCAATATCCACTTCCCTATTTCAGAAAGAAAATGGAAGATTTTGATTTAATTTGCCTCTGCACATTAAAATCAAGTCAGTGTAACAGTGATTGTTAAGGCAATTTAAAGCAGAGTTATAGGATTGTTTTTCCTACTCATCTAGTGAGGCTTTATCTTGAACTTATATGGTGCACTGTGTCAGCGAACCTCCTCCTCCATCCTCCTCTTCGTCTTGTGTGAATGTTAATGAATGCCTGCACTCTGCAGCCTTTCTCAGAGCATTACGATCTGCTGCAGTGAACCATGGCGTCTATGGCTTTTAAATGAGGGCACAAAGATTGCATTGATCACTCCTCATAGATTGTTTTTTCCCCATATATGATGATAAAGGATCTTAAAGCAGAGATGCACCTTAAAATAGCAGTTTGTATCTGAAATATACATTTTCTTGAAAGTAATTTTAACAGGCTGTAAAGACACATATTGCCCTTGCACTGGATGGTCTAAAAAAGATTAATAATAATAAAAAAAAAAATGGATTAAAAAACTGTGGTCAATAAATCCAAGTTAATCTTAACTTCAGAACTTCCCTACAAGTACTTTATGCTTTTGCTTGATGAATTATGGGGTGATTTTTCTGCCAAAACGTTGTGTACAAAAATGCATGTTGCGCGCACGCAAATGCATGAAGCATGTTTAACACAAACAAATCTTATCACTCACAAACAAACATGTTGCACTCAAATAAATCTTATTGTTCCCAAATAAAACTTGTGTGTGTTACAAACTCTCATCTAATGTCACACACAAATAAAACTTTTTTTTCAAACTGTCCTTAAATGTTGCACACACACAAAAATTTGTTTTACAAACCTGGAGTCTAACATTGCGCTTAAAATATAATTTGTAAATTGTCCCCGAGTGCAAAACGATCTCTGCTCGCGTAGAAAACAGCCTCTCCTCACATACGAGAAAATTCTTCACACTCAGCGGTAAGTTTCTGCCAAAAGTCATGTGATACATGGAGAATTGTCATTCTGACTAACCAACAGCAGGAGGCGCAATACAATCAAAACAAGTGAAACTTATGGATGTTACATCGAGCTGCGTTTCCCCATCAGATACGGTTTCCCCTGCATCTCCGAGTCCGCACAGCGCTGGCGGCACGATTCACCGCGCAAGCCTATATGAAAGGGAAGAAAGTTAGAAAGGGAGAAATCTGGATGGATGGATGTTTCGTCAGTGGATGTTTCACTGACCATACAGTCGTGCATAAATTGATGCTTAAGACTGATTTAGTGCAGCCTCAGCAACATTCCCTGGGTTCTTCAATATACATTATTATTAGTACATTATTATGTTATGTATGTATTGTTTGTACTAAGCAAAAGATATTAGGATCAAACATTTCAATTGCATTAATTAAATTTACAGTGGTGATATATTGGTTGATTAATATGAGCAGAACCAATAAATATGCTAAAAGAAATGTGTATATATTTATGCAGATTTTTAGGAAACTTACATGCTTTATAAATTATCTCAGGATGTCTTTATATATGTAGATTTTATTACATATCATCTAAATTAGAGATAGCCTTAATGATCAAAGATACGGCCATTGAAATTAACAGTCCTTTATGCTGTTTTAGCATTTTTATATCCGATCATTGTTGTATGAAATGATCCCACTTAGAATTCATTCTTATCTTCTTGGACAACAGTTGAAACGGTTGGTTCAAACATCAGTACTCGAGTATCAACACTCCTGACTCTGATGTTGGGTTATCAGCAAAGCTTTGCAGAGCTTGACTGCCTGTGAAGTAGTTTAACCATTTAAATCAGGTGTGTACATAAAGGTAGCTTCAAAGATTTGAGCCTGAGACGCCTGGTTTAAACTGAAGCTTTGTTCTCCATCCATGTTCAGAAAATGGTCTCTTTGAATAGCACCTCACCACTACTAAAAAGCTACCTTTGGCTGTCATTCACATACAGCCTTCGGGTTATTCCACTGTTTGGAGAAAAGATTTGTTTTTCATTTTATCACCAGTCATTTAGATTTAAACAAAAAGGTTCCTCCAGTCTCTATATCGCTATTTTTCATTTATTTAAAATGTATTCAGGGCAAGCTGAAAACTGTTAGAATATAACTTTAAGTTTCATTAATTTATCTATACTTTGTTTTGTTAAGCATTATCTGACCCCAGAAATGCCTTTAAACTGTAGGATGTTTCCTCTTCAAACCCTTTTTTTTGAAGCAGCTTCCTAAATAACCCGATGCCCTGTATTTGGGTTGTACTTGTTGCAGAGGGCCGAATATCCAGAGAGTGCAAAAAGCAGGAAGATAATGCAGCCTGGTATCACCCAGCACCAAAGTGACAGACTAACACTCTGAAACCATTTACAGCTCAGAGGTCTGTTGCACAGATCTATCTGTGGTTTTAGAAACCACTTGCAATGAAGTTTTTTCTTTTTAATTTTCATTTATCATTCATCCAAACCTCCGTTCTTTATTAAATCATCATTGTGACAGCTTTGTAATTAAACTTGTCTAGACATAAACGCTCATCAAAGTTGCAAAACACGTAGAACACAATCAGCATGTTTTTTTTGAGCAGATTACTGAGGATAAACTGCAGATAAAAAGCGCAGGTACATATAGCTATTGCCCAGCTTCATGCTCTGCCTGCCCCAGTTTTCCTCTTCCTTAACATGGGGATTCCCGTCTTCTGCTGTGAAAACAAACTAATGCATCACATGTGTTGAATTTGTCCCTCTGGTGGTTGCCTGTCCCTGCTCTTGTCACTTAGAGATTTGTTGGTTGTGTGCTAATTTCCTAAAGCCCTGAGCAAAATTAACCTCTCCACTTAAATGTAAAGCAGCCTGTAAACTGGGATCTGATCCTTTCTAAACACTCAGACCTCCCCAGTAAATGACCTCTCTATGCAGTTTGTATGTATTTTCTATTTTAATACAGTTCCTATAATATTCTACTTTAATTAAAAGTTTATTTAAGCTATGTGTGCAGGAATGATCCCCCAAAGCACTGATTCTTCCATTTAATCAGAAGGAATTTGTTTTACTCCAGCACCCCCTTCTGGTGGCAACATGAAATTGCTCCATAGTTTATAGCAGTCTAAGGTCTCATTTTTCTGACATCACCTATATGTTGTTGCTGAGGCAATCTTTAAATATTATGTTCTGTGTCATCTTTGCGTGATATTTCTTCCTTTTGTTTTATAACGTCAATAAGATGGTTGAGAAACGGTGACTGCCATCCTCACGCATACATCTCCGGCTTTAGGCTGACCCGCCGTCTCTGTCTCTAAAAGTCTGTCGCTATGGCAACGCTGTCTGGCAGGGGAGATGGCAGTATTCAATGTGTGTGGCAGACAGTTGTCTCTGCCTGAATCTTCTTATCACCAACAAGGGAAGCAGAGCAGGGATAAACAAATTAAGTGCAGACCACGCATGTATATTATAGCCCCAAGAAAGACAGAATGAAATGTGAGGGTAGGAGCCTGGAGCTAAGTTACCAATTTAAATACCCCAAAAAATTTGGTCAGCTCTAACCAAATGCTGGCTTTCTGTAAGACTTATGTTCAAATTTTATATTTCTTATTTTTGCAGAGATCTCAAGGCTGGAAACATTCTCCTTGGAGATGATGGTTCCGTGCAGATTGCAGGTATTGTTTTCCAAGCAAAAACATTTTTCATCCGACTGCCTCTTGTTTTCCTTCCTCCCGGCAATTTTGGTATCTGTAATGAATATTTATGCACGTAGAAAAAAATGTACCTGTCATGACAAAACTAACACTTCCTGTCTATTTTGGTCTTCCTTTCTGTTTAGTTTTTTTCTTCTCTCTCCCTGATCCCCAGACTTTGGCGTCAGTGCCTTTTTAGCCACAGGTGGTGACATGACCCGAAACAAAGTGCGCAAGACGTTTGTGGGAACGCCATGCTGGATGGCGCCAGAGGTCATGGAGCAGGTCAGTGCTGTCCTAAATGGAACAGAAAACTCATTATCAGGAACTAAAACACCCATAAATTAAGCATTAAATTACCTGAAAATCACTTTTCATTTGGTAATACAATATTTAGCTGATAAGATTAAATAAAATAACTTATGTTGTAAAAGTATTTTGTTTTTTTTGTTTGGTTTATTTGTTTTTTGAAGAAGAACACACCCTGTCTTTAGAAATAGTAAATAAAGGAAATAATGATTTGAACTAAAACATAAAACACTTTTATAAGAAGGGAGAAATTGTTACCTTTGTGGAAAATCTTAGCCTAGTAAACTAGCCCCAGACACTAGCCAGCAGCCAAAAAAATTTTTTGCGTACGAGTTTGGTCTAGCTTCGATTAATGCCCCAGGCCCTACAACTGGCAGGCCAATCACAACGCAGAGATGTGTTTTGAGTTTTTGGATGCGAAGTGGGCGGGGTTTTGAGGGCGTGACGACAAAGCTGCGCGATGCTGGTGAAAGGACAACAAGGAAGATGGCAACAACTATTGAACAGTTCTCGTTTGACTCAGCTTTGGAAGGATTAGACGAATTTGACATTGTTTGTTAACACTCCCACACCAGCTTTCTGTTGAGCTTACTACGTCAGTCTTTTGCGCTAATTGGTCAGAGCGTTGGCCAATAGGCACAGACATGGTTTGAAAGACAACGGGTTGTTCTCATCAACAATTTTCTGATGTCTCATTTATTGGGGCCAAACTAAATTACACATTTAATCTCACATTTAGTCTGGTTTATCAGGTTAGGAAAATCCTAATTTCTGCCAACAATTGTTTACAGAGTTCTACTAAATGAGGAGACTGGTTTTAGGCGGGAATGTTGTTCCTTTCTCCTCTGATGGACTCTGATTCTTTTGCAGTTCTGGATCTTAACTAATCAATTTGTTTGTTTCACATTGTGTCTAATATTTCCATACAAAGCTATGCTGTTACACTAAGCAGTTTACATTTGCACATTTTTTTAACTGGAGAATACAAGACCTTTCACTAAAGTGTTTGTAGTAGTTATGTTAAGATATTTAATTCCCAGTTTATTTCACCTGTTTTTCCTTATTAATGTGAAAATATTTGCCATCTTTACTTTCCAAGCGATTCCAAGATTCTCTTTTTTTTATACAGCCCCAAATTCAATAAGATGTTTTTGCCACCAGATTATTTTTCTAAACCAGGAAAATATTTACTGAAAGTATTTGATGCTCTCAGTGTATTTATATACGGATTTGCTGGATTAGCAAATCCTTACCCTGGCTTATTTGGTGTATTTTTTTAAATGTCTGGAGTTTTTTTCCCCCTCCCAGTTGTAATTGTGTTCATTATTTGTCTTCTTTAGGTGAGGGGTTATGATTTCAAAGCAGATATTTGGAGTTTTGGAATCACAGCTATTGAGCTAGCCACTGGAGCTGCACCTTATCACAAATACCCACCAATGAAGGTCAGAAAACGTGTTATTTCTTAAAAATAGATAAATAAATAGAAAAACAGGAGATCAGTGCTATATATATATATATTTACTTTTTTGCTGTTTTCAGGTCTTGATGCTGACGCTGCAGAATGACCCACCATGTCTGGAGACTGGTGTGACAGATAAGGAGATGGTAAAAAAATATGGCAAATCTTTCAGGAAGATGATCTCCCTGTGTCTACAGAAGGAACCAGAGAAAAGGTGCACGGTCTTGTGATAAACTCTACAGCAACATATTTCTCTACAGCAGCTTCCACAGAGGGGCTCTCTGTTAAGCTGCTTCATGATGCAGAATGTGGCACTTTAGTTAACAAAAACTGTTTTCTTTAGCATGTGTATGAAAATAAAAACATCTTTTAATAATAGTCTTGCAACAATGAGTCATTTTATACTGTCTTATAGACAGTATAAAATGTATAGTATAGTTGTACAGCGCTGCCAATAGTTCTAATCCTCATGTTTTTTTGTTTTTTTTTTCAGGCCAACATCATCAGAATTATTGAAGCATAAATTCTTTCAGAAAGCAAAGGTAAGTTTTTATGTTCAACTGTGTTTATTTATTTATTTTTGTGTTATAGTCTTTTATTTAGAATGTTTGGCAAAAGTTAGGCTCAAATGAACCGTTTTTTCTTCCAAAGCAAACTAATCTCCCCACTTCATTCTGTTGTAGAATAATGCAATCATATTGAACTGATCGAATAATGTCAGGATTATATGTGGGGATTGATGGAGGTCCAGCCGGTTATGTCAAGTTGCTGAGGTTGATTGCAGCGATTCTTCATCCTGAGGGATAGTGGAGAGGAAGGACTCCGTATCAGCATTTCAGGGCTTAAGCCAGGAATATTTTTTTGCAAATCACACCAAAAGGGGTGTTCACTTCTCTGCTATAACTATCCCCTAAAATGGTTTCTGCATGTCAGTCCCACAACCACATGTGCGTTTGTGTGTAGTGGTTTTGTCCCTCAGCTGCATATTGCCTCTTCTGACCGCTCCAGAAGTCAGTCTGCATCCTTACCGGGGCAATACCTCCCATCATCTCCTGTCTTCAGGAGCCAGAGCAGATAAGAAATCAGACTTTCAAACAGGCAAAGGTTTATCTGGTTGGTAGTGGTCAAAGGCAAAATGGAAACATACCTGTCATGGCTCAACTCATTTTAACTACTGAATTCGTAATTCTTGCTAACTGTGGTCCCTGCTTGCATCAGTGTTATGTTGTTGCAGGAGCACAGATGTGGATTTCAACATGATGAATGAACGTGTTTAGTGATAAAATATGATACTATCAGTCTTTTACAGTCAGTCAGTGATTATATCTATAATTAATGGCTGTATTGTCTGGGTGGAATAGGCATGTTTTGCATGTGGGTTTTTCTTAGTCATATGAATTTCTTGTTGTCTTTTAAGCTCGTCTCTGTCATTAAGAAGACGTTTATTAAAATACCAAGTTGGGGAGTTGTGACATTTTAAGGCCCTTTCACAGCTTTTGGAAACATCTTGGAAAAACATTCCTCTGGTCAATGATCAGGCAAAATCAGAGGGAAGCAGAACGGCACCAAGTTCCTGTTTGTATCACAGCCATAAAAACATCCAGAGTTCTGACTCAGCAAGTCACACGGTCCAAATACAACCTGGATATTGTTGGATGTAAATCTAAACTGCAAATGCCTGTGTGAACAGTAGATGTCAGGCTTTATCCTTATTTTAAAGCAAGCTGACTTTGGTTAAACCCAGATATTTTAAAGATCTGCAAGTTTGGGATTTTCTTCTATTAACTGGAATCTGTTCCGCTGTTTTTTGCTCCATTTAGACCCACGAATATTTGCATGAGAAGTTGATCCAAAGGGCTCCAACAATAACAGAGAGATCAAAAAAGGTAAGGGAAGCAACAACAAAAAAAATCTGCTGCTCGCGCTTTACAAGAATAAGAAGATGAGCTCAGTTGCGTTGTTAAACACATTTCAGGTACGACGAGTGCCTGGTTCCAGTGGGCGGCTCCATAAAACGATGGATGGGGAATGGGAATGGAGCGACGACGAGCTCGATGAAGAAAGCGAGGAAGGCAGACTAGCTGTTGCAGCTTTAAGAGTGAGAAACCCACCTGCTTCTCCAGCACATGCAGACATTAACCCTTTGTAATAGTCCACACGTCACGTCTCTTAATCACTGCTCTTTGATGAAAGTGTCCTCCCTGTCTCTGTTTAGCATGATGTTGGTCCGTTGTCTCACTGAATCTCTCTGTATGTTGTGTCTGATGTAAAGGAGCAGCAGGTGAAGCCTGTTAGTGCCCTGAGGCGACAAGTGCGCTTCTCCCACCCGCTCGAGCTGCCTTCATCCAGGGTTGTTCACTTGTCACTGAAATACAGATGGCGCTCCCCTAACAAGGAAGGACTCTCACCTGTTGGCTCTCCCATGCTCCACAGCTAGGAAGCACTGGAAAGGCAGTTAATTCTCATTAGTGTCAGAGAGCTCTGCAGGGATTTTAATTTGCAAAAGTGTTTGTACTGCTTAAACCCTTTTGCTTTCCACAAAAAAAAAAATCCAGTGTATTTTATTTAGGTTTAAGGTAGAATGCAAACACAAAATAGCACGTAATGGCAAAGTTATACAAATTACTAATAAAAGTCAGAGTATTTCGCCCTACTTGCTCTGAAAAATGTTTTCTGATTACTAAGTGAATAGCTAGAAAAGCAGGACTGCTCATGTTTCATGTTTTGGAGAAACTGAAAGCAAGGTTGGTTCGGTTATAAACAAAAATTCTAAACTCTGAACACCTAACAGAACAGCATTTAATCCATCAATTGTTATTGGACAGAATACAGCACAGATTCTGATATATTAAAAAATAAACATCCTTCTAACGGGTAAGAAAGGTATTAATCAAAGCACAGCAAGCATGCTCAATCTGGATATCATTTCATTTTGTAAACTGTCCTAACTCGGCGCATTAAAGAGTGCTGAGTGTATAAAAAAAAAAGTAATCTAAAGAAAAGCATATGAGGTGGCCCAAAATATTTATTATTCTAGGTTTCTGCATTTCTTTTTCTATTTTTGCAATCAGACAGGCTTTCTTTCCCCCTGATTCTCCACTATCACCGCAAATATATTTGCTTGAAAATGGCCTTTTCTTTGCATCTAAATGGAAGCCATATTGTTTATGTCAGTAAAAACTTTTTTTTTTTAAATAATAGCTTCAGAAAAACCAGATCAAATAGTTTTGCATGAAAGGCATCATTCTATATGGTTGTTCTCATATTTCGTCAAAGTTAGCTGTTTAAATGGAGTCAGACTGCAGTTTAGCTACAGCTGGACAAACGGGTCTTACTAAGAAACTGCAGCCAAACCGCGAGAGTTTTAAAGGCCAAGAAGGAATTTGAGGTTTGTAAAAATTCTGAAAGGTATTTTTATTGAATTCAGCAATTAAAATAAACCATCTGGATTCATTTTTAATACCACCAGGTTTACATTTTAACCCGTTTTAATTTGATAGTATAGGTTAGATTAAAAACTTTGCCTGGGAGAGATTTCAGTCCTGGAAGCCATCTGTATTTCAATTTCTTTTCTCTTTTAACCCTTTTTTTACTACACTGCCACAATTTAATATTGGTATCAAATCACTGATCTCCTTTGCGATGATTCTCAAAAAGGAAACTGACCTCTGAGCTTTTGAATCCCAATCCAACCTGTTTTTTTTTTTGTTTAGTGGTTACATGTCGGCACACTGAACTTTAACCATCTATGTGGGATTAATGTTTGTAATATTGGTGTAAAGGTGCTTATGCTTGTTTAACTGGATGCTCACAGATGAAAACAACGCATTTAGCATTAAGATTAAGCCACTGATCTCTATTTAGTCACTGGATTGCTGATTTCCTGGAAAAAGTGAAGTCCGCCATGCTGGTACTCCCCTCTCCCACGGACACAAGCAGTAAAAATGCTTTAGTGTTTTGAATTTGGCTGTAAGAACAAGCACTTTGCCGGCTTTGGGAAGCCGTTTCACAGGTAATTTCACTGATCGCGGATGTGCTAACCAAGAAAATCCATATATACGCCGACGTCTATATTATAGTATGTAGCGTAACATTAGTCTGGCTATTTTGGACTGACATGAAGATATTGACTGAGTTAGCCAATGACATTGTGTCTCACGTTAGAAAATAGAAAGTAATTCATTATGAAATGTAAATGTAGTAATTCTTAAGCGGATGATGCCATCATTCCTGTATTGTTTGTTGTATATCTCATTTGAAAAATACTGCTGAAATACATTGCTTTATAAACATATATATTTATATATAATATATATATATATGGGTAAAATTCCTGCCTTGTTTTTTTCTATCAATGTAACATGCAAAATATTTCTACAAGTAATGGAGATATGTATATCATGCGTAATTAATACATGTATATTACATGTACATCTTCAATTTAGCACTTTTGGCACATCTGTATTATTATGCTCCATTAACACATTCATTTTGTTGTGATGGATTTGCATATGTGATATTACATGATTTAGAGACTTCATGACTTTATGCAATGTAATGTGCCTATTTTTTTTTAGAAGTAATTAACTTATGCTATGAAACAGCAATTGTGTGTGAAAGTGATGAATTTAACTTTATTTTAAAAGTCTTAAGTCCCCCTGAAAATGAGAGCATCATCATTGTTCGATGCTGTAGCGCACGTACTGTTTACATTGAGACTGGTCTAATTAGGGAGTACCAATATGGCGGCCGGTGGCTTCACTTTAACCCCCGTACTACCAATGGGCAATCAGTAATCCAGTGAATAAATGGAAATCAGTGGATTAAGCTAATTGCCTCTGAGCAGGTATTGGATCAGAAAGCAGATCCCTCTGCTGATCAGCAGTCAGTTTGCCTTCATTTAACCGTCATGCTTTTTTGCTTGATTTATTTCATAAAAAAAAAAAAAAAACCCTTGGGGCACCTTTTAAGGGTAGTTACTTCAGAAAAGTAGCTTTTAATAAAACAGTCAAATTTCAATGTTTTTATAGGCTTTGAAATGCTTCTTATTCTTTTCAGCTACTTCCATCCAGATTTTTTAACATAAAAAACATAATATGTGACTATAATTATATGAATAAATACGTGGTCATAAGTTGAGTTAGAAAAATTCAGCAAATTTTGGGCCTTTAGGTGCCTCAAGGGTTAAACTTGACTTTTTGTTCAGAAAATCAATTTGGAACTGTATCCATTACTTTTTAATCTCATTTATTTCTTCTTTCCTGCTTCTCTTACTAAGTGTACTCTATGAGATGTGTCTTCACTCGTTTACTTCTCAATTGTACTCTTGTTATACATTGATTACAACATTAAAACAACTCTGTAGATATTTCTAGTTTTAAAATGCACAATTGATTTGATGAAGTTATTTTGGGTTTGAAAGCATCAGAGAGATTAAAGATAATCTTGGTCAGGCATAATGCTAAACACTCTTCTGCCTGCCATTTAGTTCTCAGCATGGCTCCTTGTTCTGGCATGACATGGACCCAATACTTCTGACTGGAATATTTCATATTGTGGTGGGTTGATGTGTTTATCTACAAAAATAAAGTGGAAGATTCTAGTTAACAAAATCAACCAGTTACCTGTTCAAGATCAAAAACCACTGGACCTCATCTCTTTGTTTACATCAGACACATTAGGTCTTAACAAGAGTCTCTCTGTTTATCATTCATTCACGTATTTGGAGAGGGACCACACTCAGTCAAACAGGGTTCTCAGGTCTCCCATTGAAATCTGAAAGTGTTTAATATTTGTAAATAAAATCTATGTTCCCCACAATACATTTTGTTAGAAAAGTCTGAACTCACTGGACAGATCTGTGAGGAACGTAAACGAGTGAGCCATTTTAATGTGATCACTGCAAAGATGCAGTTTGTTTTTCAATCATTGTCTTTTTGAAAGTCCCTGAAGTCTCTTTCTGTCTTCAACAGTCACCAAGAGTTAAGGAAATTTCTCAAAATTCAGAGGTAGGTTTAATCCTTGTTTATATGACTAATGGATGATTGAACTGGCAAATAAAGGAGCAAATCTTCACTTTTTGTCTGACAAAGCAAATACTTTCAGTTTTAAGATTTTTGGTTCTTGAAATGTTTCGCTGAGGTTGAACCAGAAGAGTTTCTTTCAGCTTTTCCAGACTCCTGAGCCTTTAAGTAGTCACCTCCAGGCAGTGTCCCAAGGTCAGGCTGAACTACCTCAGGCTGCAAGCCAACCCTGCCTGCAGCCCACGCAAGTCAACACTCACCCCTCTGCCCAGGCTGGATCGCCGCCACCCAGTGTTCCTGCTGCTGCTGTCGTGCCCACTCAGGTCACTACTCTCAGTTTCACATTAGAACTTCATTCTCTGCTAACAGAAATCTTCATGTTTTTTATTTATTTATTTTTTTTAGAACTTTAAGTTATGTTGAGACTTGACTTATAAATTCTGTAGGGAACAAAAAAACAATTGAAACCTAAAAAAAGTCACATTTATATTTCAGTTTTCAGTCATTTTAAATAGTTTGATCTATTTGAACTATTTGTTTTAATATTTTCCTGCTAATTCAGGAGTTTGTATTTCCTGGCTATTTTTGTAACTTTGCCTTTAAACGATGTAACCAGGATCAAGGTTTTAGGTTTCCTTCAATAAGCTGAATTTGATAATTTCCTGCTTTTGAACTTATTAAATAGGTTTGTAGGCTGTGTTGCTTAAACACCTTTTCCGCTTTCAGCCTCTTTTATTTATTGGATTGACATCAATACTTTGTGACAAGTTAAAAGCATTGGGTTTATTATCCTTAAAGCCTATTTTTACTTAAATCAGCGGTATCAATAAGGTCATTGACTCCACTTCATGATGCTGCCACTCCCGTGCATCGCTGCTTATTCGTAGAACTTTTCAGATTTTACCTCCAAATGTAATAATGTTCTTTAATGTTCCTCACTTCCAAAATCTATGTCAGACAGTGAGAAAAAGATGTCTTTTTAATGCAGTATATATGAATAACTGCTATATTTATGTTCAGTTTCTGTTAAACTGAAATTTTTATTTCTTTTTGAACAGATTGAAATAGCCTGTGAAGATGTTAGCACTCCCATTAGTTTGGTATTAAGGTTAAGGTATGCCTTTTTAACTCAACATCTTAGATGTGTTTTTTTCTTTATTTCATGTTTCTATTTTTCTTTGTTCTCTTTAGAAATTCAAAGAAGGAGCTGAATGACATCCGCTTTGAATTCATGCCAGGAAGAGGTAAATACTGTTTCCTTTCTCAGGCTGTTTATTAATCAAGGCTATAGACTGACTGTGTTATTTTGGATTGTGGTCGTGTCCTTTTGTTCCCCTTTATTTATGACTGTCACAAGATGCATCCCTCTGCACTGCATCATCTGCTAGTTGAGCAGGATAATCAGTAAAATAAAAACTGGTCCCCTGTCTGAGCAGCACAGACAAAAAAGTCATAAAGAGCGGAAATGGTCAAAGGAGAGTTGTTGTGTTACCTTTTGACTGAGAGAGAAAGAAGTTGTTCTAGTTTGACATCATGTTTGAAAATGATGAAGCAGTGTGTGGCTGTCATCTAATATTTTATTTTTTTCAGACACAGCAGATGGAGTGTCCCAGGAGCTGGTGTCAGCAGGTCTGGTGGATGGGAGGGACTTGGTAATAGGTGAGTTTTCTGTCTAGTGTTAGCCATTTGAACTTCTTAGCATTTCTAAGTAAAGATTAAATTATCAGTATTTGACTTGGATTAAATATTGTTACCAGAGATATCAGTTATTTCTATTTATCCATATATGTTCTTTTTTCACTTTGTTTTGCTCTGTATTCTCCACAAATTTTAAATTACGACATCAGTGTTTGAACTCAACCTGAAGAAGGTGTCAGATTTTGAAGCAGGAAAATTTGTAAAAACCTGCAAATCTATAAACATTACTGTTGTTTTTAAGAAAGTGAGTCTAGTGTCGTCAGGGTTCTTCTGGAAAAGTGTGCAATTTTAGATTAACATTTACCAACATTTATAATATAAACATGTATATTTTAAGTTAACACACAGTTAACTTACTAAAAACTCTGGAACGAGAAGTCTGGATATCTCTATGACTCTTTAAATTAAAATTAGGAAAAAAAAAACTTGTAGGAGTCTTATCTAGTGGTGTCAGGGAAATGTAAAGTTGGTAGCTAAAATGCAGAGGCAGAGATGATTTCCTGTAGATTTAATGCAGCCAAAATACAACTCCAAAATTAAACATCCAAGAAACTCCAGAACAGACTTAACAGGAGGTGAGGGACAGGAACTGATGAAGACATAACATAATGATGCCACAATGCCGTGTAGAGATGCACTTGTGTTTTTCTTATTTCATTGTACTGAAATATAGCTTCTCTTTTAGTTGCTGCTAATTTGCAGAAGATTGTCGATGAGCCTCAAGGTCATAAAAATGTAACATTCAAACTGGTGAGTAAAACCTTTTTTACATCTTCATACTATGAGTTGCACTATTGCAGTATTGTTACTTATTTTTTCTTTTTCCCAGACAGTAGGAGAATAACTTAGACAGATTTATTTGTCAAGTGTAAAACAAAAATAATTTTCATTTGGAATAGCTCTCTGGACAATTTCATCAGTTTTAAAAGTGCAGCCTTGAAAAATAGTAAAACATATATACCGTATATATATATATATATATATATATATATATATATATATATATATATATATAAACAGTAAATGACTGTAAATTTATAGTTCTATAACTTTCATTTTTAAAAAATAAGAATAACAAATCAAATAATAAGATATAAGACATCAAACCTCGTGCTTTTTGCTGGACCTTGCTGCTGTTAAAACTTAACTGTCATAATTCGATGTGGTGAAAATGTTGCACAAACATGGAGTTTTCTGCCTTAGATGATACTAATAGAGTGACAAACCGGACAAATCTGTTAAGCTTTCCGACTGATTCATCATGATGCATTGCACTGATTTCTTCTTCTTTTTTTTTTTTTTTTTACACTTATATACTGTTGGATGTTCATAGATAGAAATTAAATCCAACAGTGACTGTACTAATGAGAAGCACCTTCTTGCAAATACTATGTACTGTTCTCCACAGTATCTATATTAGATAATGACATTGTGGTACTGGTGTTTTCTCTGGTCTTTAAGGATACATAGAATAAACATCACTCCTAATGCAGCTACATCAAACACAGTGAACCTGTTAAAGTCCCAATTTTTAAAATCCAATGGGAATTTCTAACTGATGGGCTAAAAGTATGGCTGAAATCTTGGTGTCATGATGAATTCAGACCTGAACTTTCAGAGGATGATTAAAGCAGGACCTAGAAAAACCCTTTTCACAGGTTTGCCTAAAAAGTCCATCAGAGAGCTGCAGCTGATCCAAAATGCTGTTGCCCGTGTTCTGACTAGAACTAAGAAAGTAGAGAACACCATTACACTGTGTCTCTGTACCTCAATGAATAGACTTTAAAATCCTTCTCTTAGTCTATAAATCACTGAATGGATCAGCACCTCAATACATAATATTTGTCATCAATGTATCAACCTCCCAGCCCACTCAGGTCTTCTAGTTTCATCCTACTCTGTCCACCCAGAACTAGAACCAAACATGGAGAAGCAGCATTTAGTTTCTATGCTCCACTATTCTGGAATAAACTCCCAGAGTTCTTTTAAGTTAAAGTTAAAAACCCTTTCCTTTAGAACTGCCTTTAACTGTTGAAGTTAAACTGTTAACTGAGGTATAATTTGTAGTTTATATTTCAACGGTTTTATTTGTTTTACATGTTTTGATCTTTCTTTTATTCTGCTTTTATTTTTGGTTCAGTTCATGCAAATTGATTTGAATTGTCATTGTATTAAATTGGGCTGTATAAATATAGTTGCCTTTCCTAATATAAGCTAATATACGTTATTTCTGTGCTTGTTGCTCTTTCAGTGCAACATGTTCAATAAAAATATAGCTATATAGTACTGTTTACATGGAGGTCTTACTAAAGTACCAATGATCAGAAATGCTATTAGCCTTTTAAAAAGCCTTTACATTGGAGTTTTATGTGCATGGTAGCCATATTGGATTTTAAAGAGAATCTCCCAACTTTTCTACAAAGAATTCCAACTAAAGTGTTGATGTATATTTTTTCAATTTCAAGTGTAGAAATTTCAAAAAAGAAAAGAAAGAAAATTGTCTTCTCTTTATAGTTTAGGTCTTATTGGAAAAGAGCTACCTTTTCCCCATGTTTGCTGTGTTCCATTCATGGTCTTGTAGCAAGCAGCAAATAGAACATTAAGGCTTTCGTTGATTAACTTTCCTCTTATTTGTTGTGAGTTTCTCTCAAAACAAAAAAAAAATCTGTCAAGTTCTTCCCACTGATCTAGTATTTAGTTGTTGGTTTTTTGTCATCAAACCCCAATAAACACTTTGAAGGTTTAGGTTAGATTGTTAAATTGCGCAAGTTTGATTACTTTAATACATTCTTGAATCCGTGTCTTCACAGGCTTCTGGGGTGGAAGGATCTGAAATACCAGATGACATCAAGCTGATGGGCTTTGCTCAGCTTAGCATTAGTTAAACTGTTGTTCTACATGGAACCATGACTTGCCTAAAAATGTGAAAATGGAAAAAAAAAATAGTTTAATGCATTTTTTCTCTTTCCATGGCTGTAAAGAACCACTACTGCCAAAGAAAATAATACCATTTTGCTACCCATAGGATTATACAATACCACCTTGTGGGATTAGGTGGTCAGCCGTAGTATCAGAACTGTAGTGGGAGAATCAAAGCTCAAAGTTTACAGTGTACATGTAGAGGGATGCGAGCATCTGCAAGAAAATGTTTTCATTTTAGATTCTGGGTTCCTTCATCTTGTTATTATCTCATTTCTATGTCATGCATTTGCACAATCGGATCCAACACTCCCTAATCCCACGTAATCCCGGTAAGTGTAATTGCCTTATAATCATAAGAACTACTGAATGCTCATTTCGTTTCACCCCATGTGGAGCGTAGTGTCATTTGAAATGCACAAACGTGGCTGCGGGTGCTGATGCCAAACTTTAAACTTTTGTTTTGTGAGTACGAATGAGATGGAAAATAAAGTTATGCCAAAATATGATTATTATTATATTTCTACAGTCTTTACTATGTAAGACTGAATTTAGCCCAAAACGCTCTTCTCCGTTTTAGGACAAAAGTATCTAGTAATTTTTTTCAAAAACAGGTGGAAAAAAAACTAAATCCGAAACAAAATCTTTTACCTTCTTAAGTGCTTTATTTTACAGTGTTATAAAACTGGATATTTTGGTTTGCAAAACATTTTTGTCCTAAATTTGCACCCATTATGAGATATAATTTCAGCAGTTTTTCCTTTCTGTTTTGTTTTGAACAAAGACATGTTCATTGATCTTACCCATTAGGTTGATTTATTCTGTTTATGGTTTACATGAAGACTTGATGATCTCTTGATACTTTGATCAATAATGTAGCGATGAAGGTCACTGAATCAATAAATGAAAAAGACAAATTCTGAAATTATCGAAAATTTTTGATTTATTTGAGGGGGGAAAGAGCTATAATGGGCCTTTCTTACATCCATGGTAAGGCCCTGTAGCTCTCCAGCCTTCCAAAATAAAAGCACTTATGCTGGATTCTGGGTTGGAATATAAAGCCTTGCAATGCTGCAGCAAAAACAACCAAAAAGCAGAGGAGGCACCCAACCCCCTATTGACTAAACATGCATTAAAAGCAATATAAAAATTGGTTTGATTTGCATTCAACCCATTCAGATGTATTACTGATAAAAATGTACAATTAGTCTTCTGTTTGTTTTTTTGCTTTTTAATTAGTTACATTTATACATCAGATGTTAGAAAACTCGTCAAGGTCATTGAGAGAATCATCAGAGAAAATCTGCGGGCCTCCATGTTAAAACAGACCTTTAGCTTCATGTCATTTTTTTTGTTCTTAGTTGATATAAAGCAGCTGAAACCTTACTGTATTCGTTTTAAATAATAAAAGAAAATGAATGGGGCTGAAAAGCACTTATACCTAAGGATGTAAATATTGTCATTTGACTTTGTTTGCATTCTCTTTCACTCTGCCTTTTTTCTTCCTATATCGACACGATTGTCAGTTCCTGATATATGACGCTTAGTGTGCGTGGCTTCGAATGGTGTGATTTTGAAGGCGTTGATGTCAGTAACAGTTTGTCAAAAATGATGCTCATTCATTTGCACTTAAAAAATCCTTGTCTTGGAAGATTTTTCGTATAAGAACCTCTAAGTTCCCAAAATCTTAAAGAATTGGCTCCATAAACACCAGGTGGAGACTGTTTACAGCTGCATTCACACACTCAATCATCTTTGTATCATACAGCTAACAAATAAAAACGCCACGATTGTAAACAGTTGGAATATCATTTTCTTTTAACGTTTGCATTTATGACTCAGTCTTGCATTTATGTCTAAGATGCCAGCGTGGTTTTATCCTGTTAGGTGATGTTGTAGTGTCACTACCTTCCAGATGCCATTTTGAATGAAGCAAAAGGAAAAACTAAGAAAAATAAAAAGCTTTGTATTTTTGCTTGTGAAGATGTAAATTTTTGTGCAAGCCTTAAATCACAAATGACCAAGTGTATTTTTTTTATCATTATTTTTTTTGAGGGGGAGTGAAATTAGGAGGTAGTTTTGATTTACTGAAAGTATCTGAAATGGATCCAGGAAGATTCCCTGCATGAAGTGTCGAAGGTGTGCAAACAAATTGCAGCCTTCCTGGCGTCAGTCTCTCGCTGATGGTCGCAGGCTGGGCTCCTATGGTGGAAAGGATTTTTTTTTTCTTTTGTTCAAGCCTTATGAGATAATTCTGTTTTTTATGTGTGGACATTGTGTAGACAGAGTCTAGCTTCAGATGGAAATGAAGCTTTATTAGCTTTTTTCTTTTATTCTTTCCTGTTTTCATACAACCTAAAAAAAAAAAAAAAAAACAACTGTAGCAACTGAACAAAAAAAAAGGCAAAACCATGTTTATCTAGGACTAATCAAGGTCGTTATATGGCTGTCTTACTTTTGTTCAGCATTTTCCATTTTTTTCTGATTATTTTCAGCGCTCAGGCATGTTTCTCTTGATTATTTTGTTCATTAAAGGACTTGGCATATCAGCTTCTTAGAGTCCAGTCTATTTTTATAAATACTACCTTGCAGTAGCATTTTTAGCCCTCAGATCTTTTTGCAATTTGGCACAGACTCATATTTTACTGTGATTTATTTATTTTCTACTGATTTACATGGTAGCAAATGATGCATACACTGCAAAAATGATCTAGAGATAAGTAAAAAAATTCTTAAATTAAGTGTATTTACCATTGATTATTGTTTTTATTAATTATTTACCCTTAAAATGATTTGTGAACTGAATGAGTTTTACTCTTAAAATACGATAATTAGATAATATACACTTCAAATAAGACGATGCGATTGTTTTTTTATTATTATTTTAAATGTTAACTGTCTTTTTCATTTGCAAAGTGTCTGATTTACCTTCTCAGTTCAAGGAAAAATGCACTTTTAAGAAAGATTTACTTATTTGGATTTCAATTATTTGCAGTCTGTTTTTCGGTCTCTAAAACTACAAATCAAATCACCTTTTCTACTCATTCCCCTTTTATTAAAGGCCTAAACCTAGATGTAATGCAATGAATTGCATTTAAAAGCTTCATTGAGTCCAAGGAACACAGCAGACTGAGATGGTTGTATAGACGTTTAAAGTACAGGTAGGCTTGCTTAGGATGACTACACACCAACACAAGGCTGTACACCTAAACTGGCCGATTGATGCAGACATCCGCACTTCGGGGGAATCTGTCAGCACAACTATCAGTTAGCACAACATTGATCTTGCAGTTTTTCATCCTCTGAGTTTCTATTAAGTACAAACAGGAAGGAGCACATACCATAGAGTTAGTTTATATAATGTCACTTCTTGTCAAAATAACAGTTGCATTCAACCTACAGTGTCTCAGTGATATCCTGGAGTTCAACATTGAGTGTTTCAGGTAGCAGCAAACAGAAACAGCCTGCAGCCATCGGGATGATGCCATAAACCACCATGGGAATGCTGTAATGGTAGACCTCCAAGAGCCTGACCAGTGGTGAGAGGATGCCGGCCACACGAGCAAACATTGAATTCAATCCTATGCCGCTATGCCTGCAAAAAAAAGAACGTTTGGGCAAAATCAACCTGGCATCTATATTTGTAATATTTCAAAAGTTGCCTATATATAAAACATTTACTTTACTGTTAATTGATCCAATCAGAAAATTGTTACACTTACAAAAATATTACAGTTTGATTTACTCCCTCTCCATATTGTTGAATCGTATTGAATTAAGTTGCAGAAACGGTCATCCCTGTGCTGAACCTTGGAGAACACTTACACATCCTGTATTATATATAGATTTTTTTTTCTCCACACATTGAAAAGCATTTCAAATAAAATTCAGAAATCTCTTTCATCTTAAAGTCACTCTTGCTGTTGTCTGTGTTTTTGTGTTTCCTGGATGCGAACTCCTGTGGAGCTGGTTGACAGTTGCCTTTTGTATCTCTGCTTCTATTTCTATGTATGCTTCGGTCTCCTTAAAAACCCAGTCAGCAGATGGCCACTCACACCAAGTCTAGTTCTGCTGGCGTTTTTTTAAAATTCCTGTTAAAAGGGAGTTCTTCCTCTCCACTGTCGCTACAAGCTTGCTTAGTTTGCGGGATTGCCTTCGAGTCAATGAGTCGATGCAATCAACTGGTTTTCCTCAGATAGAAAACTTTGAATCAATTTGACTGGATGATCTGGTTGAACTGAAAAGTGCCTTGAGATGACGTGTTGTGAATTGGAGCTATATAAATAAACTGAATTAAATAGAATTTTTTGGTTTAAAACCCAAAGGTAAACCCTAAGAACAGCCCTTGGTCTCTCCCCACTTCTGACTGAATGATTAAAGGTTCTTTCTTCGACAGAAAAAATGAAAATGTTCCAATTTAAATTTGTTCCATCAGTAGATATTACCTGTACAATTTCACAACCAAATGTAACCCTTTTTTTGTTTTCGCACTCGAGATGTAAATTAATTTACTTCACATTGGAAATGTGTCTGTAAACACCTGAGTTGGTACTTTAGACAAGTTATTTCTTATAGGAGATCATAAAGACAACTACCTTAAATCTGTAGGGTATAATTCAGCTGTGTAAACATGGGCTGTACTGCAGGCAGCTGTGGCAGCAAACTTTCCCAGCATCGCAATGACTGTCACCACCACTGAAAGATCTGATTAGTACAAAAAGCAACATAGAGGTGTAAAATAGGTCTATATTTGAAAACAAAAACAAAGATATACATGGGCTGACAGGGCTTCAAGGCTACCTTTGGGAACAGCAATGGCCACCAAGCAAGAGGCTCCACCAAAGAACAGGAAACCTGCTTGACATATTCTTCTCCCAAAGCGCTGAATCAGGGTCAGGCCAGCCAGGTTTGCAGGGATTTCAATAAAACCAAAGATGAGCTGTGTGAGGTAGATATTTAGGCCAAAACTCCCAATATTTAGGCTCAGTCCATAGAAAAGAATAGTTGCTGCAAACCTGGAATGACATAAAGTGTTTAGTTTCCATGTTAAGGTGTTAGCCATGATAGAAACGTGAACAATAGTCAAAGAGAAATAACCAGTTCAAAGCCATGATTAGAGTGCGTTTTCTTAAATAGGTTATTCGGAAGATGTCCATCATGTTTTTTCTGTTTGGGGAAGTCTCCATATTGACCTGAAAAATTAGAAAAAAGGTGGTAGGAACCTGTCAGAGCAGGAGCAATATCTCCTGAATCTGAAGTCTTTAGGTCTCAGATGATAAACTATGTTTGAGGACCTTATCCAGCAGATCTCCTGATACGCTCCTTTTATTAACTCTGGCTGCTCTCTGGAGCTCCTTCAGAGCCGCCTCCTTCCTGCCCTGAGACATGAGCCACCGAGCTGACTCTGGGAGGAAACTGCAAATACAAATGTATACAGATCTGTTCAAATTGAAATCTATATGTACTTGCATAGCGATTTACAGTGTATATAACTCCATGTAAGGAAGTTTCAGGAGATTAGAGAAAATAATGCTGACCAGAACAGGACGACCAGGACAATGACGAGGGGGCTCAAGAGAACCAGTTGCAGTATCCACCACTTTGTAATCAGATAAGCAATACCAGGCAGAATCATCTGTCCTACTGAAAAGAAGCTCATTATGGACATTGTGCAGAGAGCAGATTTTGAAGGATCAGTCCACTCCACCACTGAAAAATAGATTAGAAGTGAAAAAAAATGGTCAGTCAAAGAATTTATTTACATAATTTCAAGGCTCATGTTTTAGATACTTTCTCCATTTAATCACAACTTGAGAAAATACATAAACTAGTTCTGGTGAGAAAATTGCAAACCATTGAAATTAACATGAAAAATTGTATAAAACTGCTCATTTGTGCTGCGTCTGATACTGACACAGCAGGACAATATTCACAGATATGAACGAGAGTTGGAAAAACTTAACCTACCCATCACAAATGTGTTCATTATAACGACACCAGTCCCACTGAAAAACTTCAGAACCATATAGATGTAAATATTGGGTGAGAAAGCTGTGCTTACACCGAACACCAGCAGGATTAAAACTGAAAGTAGGATCCCAAATCTTCTGCCAAACCTACGTAGAAGAATGAAAAACCTTAATTTGAATAATCTGAGTTTTGCTTTAATCTAATCACGGTACATTCTCTGTTATTTGATGTTACAGATATGCAGAAACATCATCATATAAAATCACTTTTTCATATTTTCTTTACTTTATGACAGCGACTATTTTGTAAAAAAAAAGATTAAATCAACATGTGTTTGTCAGTGTTTGCATGTTCTGTGTTAGTTCTACTAGTAATTCAAGCTGAGAAAAGAAATTTGATTTCATTTCTCAACAGAGGTTTTAAAACAGTTAAAATCTTAAGAATTCCACATTATATAACATGGACAGATAATGATGTAATTTAGATTGCTGTGTCAGTCACAAGTGAGTTCCAAATTTAAAAAAAATTAAAAGAAATAAAAGAAACTGTCAGGAGAAGCTATCATAAAATTGAAACAGTTATCCGTAGTCAAGATGATAATGTAATATAGCTGTAATGAAGCTTGACCCAATTTGGTCCTCAGGATAAATGGCAATCTAAGAAAAATGAACAACGTGGCAACAGTGATTGTGATGTAACGGTTATAAATTTCAATCTAGTTTGCTGAATTGCAGTTTTTGTATAACTATTGTCTCCAGTGAGAACTTTGCTCAGCTTATCTGCCAGTAGAGAAAATAAAAAAAGTAGAGAAACCCATCAGAAAATCAATCTTTTAAAGTCGTGTGCATCAATTGCAGATTTAAATGTGACAATTTGTTTGAGATTTTTACAGACAACATAATAACTTGGTTTGTTCAATTTAAATGGTAATTGGCACTAATGAGCAAGACTGACAAGAAAAGCAATACCTGTCAGAAATTGCTCCAAACACCAATGAGCCGACCAGGACCCCTGCCATGAAGATGGACTGTGACACTTCAATTAAACCACTCTTGTCACAAACCAGATTAAACTGTAAAGGGATCAAACATTAGAGAGAGATGTGATATAAATTATAAGCAAATTATGTTGGAGAAAAACAAACATTCTGTTGAAACTTCATTATGTCAAGCAGTGCATAACCTGCCCATAATAATAGACTATTAAGGTCATTTTCTTTTAATTATATCAGCAGATCTTAAAGTGTCCACTCCGTGTTTTCCAATCATAATCTGGCATTTCATTCTGCATTGATCTTTCTCACTGTCTAGGCATGTGCTGTAAATAGGGGTTGTTGTATTGTAGGTCAGGATGGCCTACAGTAAAATGTTTTCCTAGAAATATCTGCTGTAGATAATGACAACTGCATATAAGCTTTAGATTGGAGCCAACACCCTTTGCACTAAGACATATTTTTCTTCCAAAAGGCAGCTTGGAGAAATGTATCTGAGCCAAAAAGAGAAGAAAAAATCAAAAAGAATAAAATGGCTTTTGTGTGTCTATTTAAAAACTATATAAACATCTAGATATGTATTAAAAAAATTATTTAATCTAAAAAGAGTAAAATACACTAAATAGTCCAAATCTTTAAACCTACAAGATGCAGAAAAGTTTATGCTTTTTTCTTTTTTGCTTACTTGTGTCATGAGGCTGGAGACTCCATGTGGAGCCTCATAGTGCCAGCCACTGATGCATCCAGTTGTGCTGTTAAGGCCATACTCTTCAATCGTTTCCAGATCCAGATCCACAGGAGTGAACATTTTACACTTTTCATACCTCCCATCCTTGTCAACAGGGATGGTGAGATTTCTTTGCCTCTCTGTAGTCAGGTTTGGATTTCTCTGCAAGATCCAGTCAGTGTTACAGTGATGTGGATAGCTAATTCCAGTGAACACCTGGCTGGCCACATCAAACGCAGAGAATATGCTGGGTATGCATAACGCAACGAGTAAGCTTTTCTGAAACAAACCAAACTCCCCAACCTCCTTCAGGACCTCTCCAAATGTGCTCATCTTGGCATATGACTCCTCTAACAGCAGACCCCCTGAAGGAACTAAGGCAGAACTAGAAACCCTTGAGCCAACACTCCACGATGAGCACAATTAATAGTTAACCAAGCAGACATGAGATAAGCCAAAACAATTATGAAATATCATAATTCGTCTGAAAAATAAAGTTCCATGTAGTTTAACTTTAAAAATGAGTAATGACACTGATATTTAAAAAAGGAAAAAAAAAACACCTTCATAAGCAAAACAATATAAAAAGTTACAATTTAATAAAATTGAAGAAGGAGAATGACAAGTAAACAAGTACCGTAGTAAAAATACCTTCAGGGCTCTATTAAAACCTGTAATCAATCTGTTAACATGACATTCATAGATAATATCTCCTAAATTTTTTGACCCTGTTAAAAAAAAATACTGAAATTTGATCAAAGCAAATGGCAAAACCAATAGCCTACATCAATTTATATGTGTAGAAACACCGCTGGTAAGGTCAAATCAGAGAATGCATCACCAAAATGTAATTAGATATGTTTAAGTTTAAATGTGGAAAGAAGGCAAAACAATGTTTTAATGAAAACAAAAAGCATTTTGGTCTTAACTTTTTACAGTTAATAAAGATCAGAAACAACTTAAACAAAAACACAGATTATCTGACAAAAAATATGTAATAACCTTTGGAGTGAAAAAGGCCTCCTCTTTCTTTCTAACTTCTTTGAATCTGCATTAATCCCTCTCTGTCAGGGTTTGGTTGAGGTTTTGAAGACCCAAATGCAGAGGCGAGGAACCAGAGGGGAGTTCTTAAAGATTTAATTGAAAAATGAGGCACAAAATCCAAAAACCAGGGTACAAAATACGTGGAACCAAACACCAGACAACTTCTTAGGGAAAAATTCATGTGGGGAGCCAGGAAAATACGAGGAACCAGCACTGAGGAACTGCACAGGGAGAGTATATATGGGAGACATTTGTGTATTTAACACATTTTTAGTAGTAGCAAAATATAGGCAGTTACAGGTCTAGCACCCCTTAGTGGCCAAAAGTTACACTGTGCGCCTTTAATGTTGCCCTTTATCTATTATTATAATGTGCGAGTATAATGTTGTGACTAGAAAAATAACAACTGTGCAGTAAAATAATTTGAATTAGTGGAGATTGTCTCAAGCCTAATCTGTAGCAGGCCTGTGTGTCTTCAAGGTAACTTTCTAAGTAAACTATTGCAACCTTATATTTATCAAATTGGCAGTCTTACTGTAAATTCAAGTTGCCCATTGTTATCACACTAGTATCACCACAGTTATATAACTTTCCACCAGATCTAGGCTTATGGTATTCTTGTACATTTGTTTTGTTTGCAGGCATTTTGTTTTACCCCTCTGTGTCTTATAGGCTGGTGTTCCATAATTTGTTAGTTCAGGAGGTCTGCCTTTTCTCCGGATCCACTATCCAGTTTAGATGGTAGCAGTAATAAACAAATTAGTTTTATAACTGCCAAAAACAAAACAAAAAAGAAAAATGTTCACAGGGTCAGTTAGTCTCATGGTTTCTATAGTTTGGACAGAGCACAGAACATAAACTCTAAAGAGCTGGGTTATGATGTTGTGGGAGTTGCAGATGTTTTCTATTTTCTCACCCCTTGTGGGGTGGTATCTGTCATCCTCGAGCTCGGGTCCTCTACCAGAGGCCTGGGAGTTTGAGGGTTCTGCGC